TCACATTTGCAACTTCTGCCGTCTTTTCAACTGACTTTGTCGGAAGCTGGCATCATAAATGGGGATCACATTGTGGACACTGCAACAGTCACAATTATGAAAACTGTTGTAAGTACCACTCATTCAGTGCTGTTGTTGCTGAATGAGTGGTTGGAAGTGAGGACCACTGTAAATGGATGCAGAATTTTAACAGAATCATCCACGTTCAGTGGAAGAATCGGACAATCTTCTAACAAGAGGAAAGTGAGGTATTAATTCCGTACTACAGACACAGATATGGTTGGATACTTTCTTAAATGGAGGAAACTCCACTGAACTCAACTGAATGAACCTCTGGGCAATATGATCTGATCATCAGTCAATCTATGATGATAGGAACATTTCCATAAAAGCAGATGACTATATTTAGGAGAAGAGCTAGGAAACAGAACAACACAGGCAACTCTCTTGCAACAAAGCAAGTGATAGAATCAAACTGTAACTACACTATAAGTATAAATTGAGTAATAGATGTGGCACACACCTACGTAATTCTGTAGAAGTGTAGGTGGTGACTAAGCTCTGTACAGTGGTGAGGCTGCGTTATAATTGAAGAAACCTTTGAGTCAAATATTATTTTTGCCATGAATTCTTAACTTCAGCATTGTAAGTTTTTTTTTTCATTTTCAGACACTGCCAGCTTCTTCTATTGTGGGATGAGGCGGGCAGGGAGACGTTGACCTAGCTTACAATGTTACCATAAATTGCAATTCTTAGATCAATTATTATTAAGGGGTCATTAAAAAAAGGAAGAAGGAAATGTTTGAAAATTTCTCAAGCTGATTCTTACTTCACACCACACCATGGATGCTGACTTCTGCCCAAAATTACAGCTAAACTGGATCCAGTGATTATTGTCTCATAATGCCAGCCCCCCACTAGAAACCAGGAACTCAATTCCACAGGAAAGCTAAAACTTTTATTCAATTGGCTGAAATGTGAGGGACAATGTACTCTAAATATAACAAGGTGGCAAGTTGGAGCTGTGGTGGCGCAGTGGTTAAATGCAGCACTGCAGGCTACTTCAGCTGACTGCAGTTCGGCTGTTCAAATCTCACTGGCTCAAGGTTGATTCAGCCTTCCATCCTTCCGAGGTGGGTAAAATGAGGACCCGGATTGTTGGGGGCAATATGCTGACTCTGTAAACCGCTTAGAGAGGGCTGAAAGCCCTATGAAGCAGTATATAAGTCTAACTGCTACTGCTATTGCTATTTAATCTGTAAAATGCTTGCGAGGAAAAAAGCAGAAAATAAAATAAAATTATCTTCTTTGTTTAACTTCAACAAGTTTGTCATTACTCTAATTTGCTGAAACAAACTAAGATTAAAGAGCAGTTTCATCCTGACATGTTTTAAAAACAATGTTGATTAAGCTAGCAATAGTTTTGCCAAGTTCTAACATACTGACCAACTTTAAATATGAGATTGTACTAAAGAAAGGAAAGGAATGCATGTGATCCCCATACTATTCCTTTATGCTAAATTATTATTTCTTTTAACATTCAGACTGAGTTATTGGCACATTCAGACTGAGTTATTGGCATCAAAGTTGTCTTCAAAAACTTCTTCAAATAGAAGAAAAACAAGAAAGATAAGTGAAACTTATTTTGGCAGGCACTATCAGAGTCAGTCAGACTCTGGCACTGTCAGCCTACTCACTTTATTCATTTTGGTTTTGGAGAATTCTTCCTTTTTGTCTCACTATCATCATCTGCTCTTCTTTGTCATTCCTGTGAAACATGTGAACTGCATTTTACATTGTTAAAAGCGTGATGAGAAACAGGAAACTCTGGGTTGCTCCCTCCCACAGTAAAGGAGAAAGTATGGTAGGTCTCCCAAAGCTGTTTGGACTGCTATTTAAACATAAACATTTGATAATAGTGCAAAAATTCTAGTGACAAAGACATCTGCATTTTATGTCAAAATTACACTTCATTTCTCTTCTAAGTGTAAAATACAATGAAACTGCAAGAGCCTAAATAGTTGATAGAGGCAGCATCTATCAGCAACTGAAGAAGCCCAAATGTTGAGCATATTTTCTCAATGAAGTAGTTATAATAAAATACAAGACTAAAGTTCTCCAATTTATACAGTTGAAAGAATATCCAGGACAACCATATTTCCATACAATACTATCCCTTATTTTACCCTTCCAGCTATACTTTACTTTTTTCTTTAATCAACAAAAAACTAATTTCAAGTTTTTTTTTCTGATGCAATTTGGTAGCTTTAAAGCTTCCAAAGAAGTCCTTTTAATTTATACTTCTGTGCAGCTAAGGCTAAAAAGTCAGGAGATTTTAAATTCTAGTACTATCTGAGGCACAAAGACAGCTGGGTGTCTTTGGGTCAGTTATTCTCTCTGAGCCCTAGGAGAGAGGCAATGGCAAACCATTTCTGAAATCTTGTCAAGAAAATTACAAGGACTTGTCCAGGCAATTTCCAGGTATCATCACTGACTCAAAGGAACCAAAGAACTGGGAAAGGGAAAGGGAAAGGAAAGGATGCACTAAACTCAAGGGTTTCTCTTGTTTTTAAATTCCCATTAAATTGTTTAAATCAATGTTTCATATTCTGACACATTTAATTTTTTAAAAAAGGAGGAACAAGTTGACAAAATTGATTATGACTATGGTGAAATACTGTAGGGAAAGAACAGCTATTTCTTAAACAAGGAACCACTCTCCTCTCCTCTTCCCTCCCCTTCTGAAGCAATGAGGCAAGTTACCAGAGCATGGCAACCTAAAAACTAGAGAACCACAACATAAAAGGAGGAAGAGAAGCAAAACTTTTAGTCAACAGTTATGTTTTTTAGTCAGCGGCTACATATGCTGTGAATACAAAACAGGATCAAAAGTTATTTATAAAAGGACAAAAGACATTGGTTTAAAAGTTCCAAAGACTATGTGCTTTGTCTTAATCCAGTAATGTTCTGTGTTACAATATTTTACTGTTGTTTTAAGGACGTTTGAGGGAACCACAATATTTGGTCATTCATTAGCCATTTTTAAGGAACATTTCCAGGGATTCCAATAATGATATACATGAAGAAATAACATTATCAATAGCTAGAAAATGGATCAGTTTCATTTAAGGATTTTGACTGGCATTTTATATTCAACAAGTAGGCTATCTAGTACTTTAACAATAACTTTAATTAAATTGGCACCAGCACTATAAAGTTACTTTTAATAATAATGATGGGTCCTACAAACACCTTTATAATTGTTTAACAAGCTTACAAATTATAAATTGGTGATCACTATGTGATTTTAAACAAATATTAAATAATCTAACCAAAGCTAATAATTTGGTAGTTACTAGACAATAGTCCAGCAAACTTGTTAAAATGAATACAACTAGAGTCACCATTGTACCATTTAGGATGATTAAATTAAATTTCTTACAAAGACTAACAAGAGCCTGCTTAATTGATGTTCTGATCTGTAGACTGTCTGTTGCACAATTCACTTAAATACTGGAAGATACATATTAATCATTATTAAATTAAAATGCTTTAAGTTTAATCATCAGGGAAGTTACATTTAGATACAACTATAGGTGCTGAGCCTCATGCATAATAAAGTAAGGGAGATTAAAGAGACTGATTTGGAAGAACTGTGACAACAGAAATTCAGATATTATAGACAGCCTTACTTCTGTCAGGTTCTCTGTTTTTAACAATCACATAAAAGCAAACATTCTGCTTTCATATCTAAGAAATTATGCTTCCCAATAGGGTTGCCAACGGCACTTTTTGTCATATCATTGTTGTAAATGATATGACTGTTGCCACCAGGAAAATGTTAGATACAACAAAGAAGAATTTATTTTTATTAAGTCTGTATACCACTGGCTCCCAAGTACTCTAATTCATATTAACATCATCTTTTTTGCAAGATGATTTTTACCAGAAGGTGGGGAACTATCCTCCAAACAAGTCTATCATATCTCACATCAACCTGGAAGTCCACGTTTTCAATTAAAATTGCTATGCTTATTGATCCATTCTGTTGCAGTTCCTGAACAACACATCTGAAGTACTGCAATCCTTATAGTTGCGAATTACAAGGTTGCATGAATACTATTTGCACACCCAATTTAACTAGAAACAATGGGGTATAGCTTACTGCTAAGTATGAAAAACAAGCCATGATACAAAATTCCCAGTTCTTTCCCCTAATACCACATGCTTATAAATAGCTAACTCCTCCACAGTAATGAAAAAAGTTAAACATTTCTGAATAGTATTTCAGCAAAGAACTGGGTTCAGAAATACCACTCTAACAACTGCTGTATTCCCTCATTCCCTCACATGCAGAATGTTGGGTGGAACTAGCCGCTCTTTCTTATTTTAAAACAAGTAGGTCTATGCTTAATAATTCCAGAAAGCTTGTCTTGTCATCTGGATGTACCTTGATGCACTAAGAACTTCAGATAAACTACACAGCTAAAACCCTGCTTTTTTTTTTTTTTTTTTTTTACAATTTTAGAATTAAAGTATTCCTGTGATAGGTAACTGACTGCTTGCAATGCAATGACTAATCAGGCACTCTGTACCATCTATATACCAGGATTTAAAACTGAGAAGTTGATTTAGAATTGAGAAATGGTAGTTAAGAAAACAGCCAAGAAATAGGTTGCTTTTTCTTAGACAAACCTAAAACAAGAAAAACAAACAAGTCTTTGTGGCACAATAGATAGGTTACCTCGATGTTGAAAAGCATCTGCAGCTGCTGGTAACAGAAGAATTAAAGCTTGGTCATATTAAAACCACAGGGAAACAAAAATAGTGCAATAGCGGATTCACAGCACAAGAATAAGTAAAAAGCAATGCCAATTCATAAATTTTTCAAAAGAAAAAGTAAATGAATTATAACTACACAATGTAGTTATTAGTTATAATAATCTCATTTCAAAGGAGAGAAGTACCCAGAATTTTTTTTAAAGAACTATAAAACGTACATCACGCAGTCTCTGTGGCTTCATATCAGGTTTCCTTGTTAATTGTGAAAATGTGGAGTTCCTATTCTTCTGAAAAGTGACTCCTGTATTAATAATAAAAACAAAACAAGTCCACAACCCTCTTTTTAGAAAATGACTAAAGTCACACCCTCTTCCTTTAGTGTACTGATCTTATATTTCTGTAGAGAGGAAGTGAAAACAGAGGAAGAGTAGTTCACTTCAGTAAAGAATATGAAGAATATTTAATTCAAACATATGCAGAATGTACATTTCTTTGGCTGTAGATGTACAAGAATTATTGGGACTGCAGTCCTTTCATAAATATCAATAAATACCCACCGTAGATGGTTTATTTCCTACCTTCATAACATGAACCCCCCCTTTTTTGCCAGCACTTAAAAACTGAAAAGAATGGAGCTGGGGTACACACTTGCTTGGCTTTTCTATGAGCCAAGGTGGCGCAGTGGTTAAATGCAGCACTGCAGGCTACTGCTAGATCAGCAGGTCAGCGGTTCAAATCTCACCGGCTCAGGGTTGACTCAGCCTTCCATCCTTCCGAAGTGGGTAAAATGAGCACCCACATTTTTTGGGGGCAATATGCTGA